ATCGTTATTAGAGATGTATGAAATTCAGTTCCCTAGCCTGATGCTACAAATCGAAACTAAGAATCTTATCCGCTGTTCAACGAGAACAGTAGCCTATTCTCAGAGTTTTTCTCGGAAGGCATTCCGAGTTGGAACTCGGAGATGAGAGCATCTGAAACTAGCAATAAAGCGCTCTTGCAAAGCAACCCATCCCAGGGAAGAAGCTCAGAGAATAAGGTGCAAGAACTTCCAATTCCTGAAAAATCTCCTGAGATACTGGAACGAATAGATTAGCTAGAAAGGAGTGCTGCTGCAAGCAGCAAGAATATTTCAGCAACTGAACAAGCATCTTCAAATACTGAACAACAAGCTACCAGCGCATCTACTGCTCAGAATACAAGCCAGCCTGCAGCGCAAGAGTATGAGCCTGGTTAAGCTTCAATCAGATGTTGTTGAACAAGAAATGAGATCTATGGATCTCAATTCACACAGCATTCAGATAGAGCATGAAAACCAATTAATAAAGCTTGCTAATACCAAGGGTTATTCGCTACAGCCTTTGTAACAAGCCAAACAGCTCTGATAAATCTTATAGCTACCTTTTTGCCTGATCAGCTAAAGGAAGCAATCAGAACATGGAATAGGCGTTTTCAGATCATATACAGTATGATTGCAGCTGCTGTACTTGAGGCAAACTCTATATGCAGAAGAGCTTCGCACTTGCAGCGAAAGCACTTTGATGCTTCTCAGCAAATTACAGAGCTAGCAATAGCTGAAAAGAAGCATTATAAACAATTATCATCCGAATCTAAGATCTGGAAAGAAGTATGAAATAGTTCTTTCTATACCGAGTAATAAAAAGCGATGCAATCAGAAATCCAGGAATTAGTTAACAAAAGAGTATAGTAAACTCTCAAGCATAAGAAAGCTAAAGAGAAGCTACTGCTATTCAAATGAATATATAGATATAAACTTGATAAGAATAGTTACTTAATCTCATTCAAAGCTTAAATCTGTATGCAAAGAAACTTGCAAAAAGCAAGCAATCTTCAAGATATGTATACAGCAATGCTAGCTGTACGCTCCTTTTGCATACTTATAGCTGTGGCAGCATATTTCGATCTAGAGATCAACCAGATAAACGTTACTAGAGCATTCCTGAATGCTAGCAGGGAAAGCTAGGAAAGCGTTTTCTGTAAGCTGCCTAATGGATTCAAGGAGAAAGGGAAAATCGTGCTCCTGGAAAAGGCACTATACAGCCTGAGGAACTTGCTAGCACTCTAGTACAAGCACTTCTGCTCAACTCTGCAAAATCTCAGCTTTATACTCTCAACTAAAGAGCTCTGCATATTCACTAACAAAGCAAACAAGCTAATTATCCTGTTCTATATGAATAATATCCTGCTATTCTATTCGCAGAACCAGGCATCAAAGGCATGCAGAGTGAAGAAAAAGATCTTCGAAGCATATAAGATAAAGAATTAGAGAGCAGCGGAATAGTTCTTGGAAGTTCAAATTATCAGAAACAGAGCTAACTGCACAATCAGCCTAATCCATGATATATATATCAAGAAAATAGCTAATAAGTTTAGCTTTGCAGCTAATACAGCTTTAATATCTCTAATGCTTCTGAACCTTGAGAAGCTTATTAAATGGAAAGGGGAAGTATCAAAAGATCAAATCAAGGAGTATCAGAAGAAGATTGGATTGATTCTGTATACTGCTATTATAATAAGACTAGATATAGCTTTTGTATGCACTCTTCTCTTCAGATTTTTGATAAATCCAGAGCTAAAGCATCTGGAATAAGCAAACAGAGTAATCTGTTATCTGTACAGAACAAGATTTCTAGCAATCCAGTACAAAGAAAGCTACTCTGAGGCTCAAGCTCTGCTAATTGCCAGAGATGCTTCCTTTGCTAATGATGCAGAGAACTGAAAATCCTCACAAGAATATATCTTCAGCTTATTTGGAGATTCTATATAATAGAAAGCAACAAAGCAAAGCTTGGTAATCATCTCAACTACAGAGGCTAAACTATACGCCCTCTCAGCCACAGCTAAGAAAACGATCGCTTTACAACGCTTCTTTCGAAACCTCACCTTGAACCTCAGCAAGCCCTGGAATATCTTCTATAATAATCAACAAGCTATATAGCTGATAGTTACAAAGCGTAAAAGAATAAATATAAAGCTTTGCTATGTGAATATATACCAAATGTAGCTTAAGCAGAAGTTTCAAAAGAGCAAATTTCAGATCTCATATATGCTAATACAGAGCATGCTAGCTGATAAACTAATCAAGAATCTCAATCGAGCGCAATTCGAATACTTCAGAGCGCTTCTCAATCTTCAGAATATCAGCCATGCCTTGAATCAGAGAACCAAGAAGGAATCTAAAGAGATACAGATAAGCAATTCGATCTCACATTAGCTTCTTTTGAATGCTCTTAATTACTGAATTTCATTTATCAAAATCAAAAACAAAGGCTTATAGCTCAGAAGTATTATTCAGAAATATGCAAACCAAGCATACAGCCTTCATTAAACAACAAATCAAAGAACTTAATTATAAAAAAACCCAATCATCCACCAAAGCTTAGAGCACATCTAAGCTTAAACAGAGCTCACTTCTTAGATAAGGAGTAAAGAGTAGCCAGCACTGCTTTAATATCAGCTTTAGCTTTCTCATACTTCAAATGCTATTCACAGTAAAACTCAACAGAATAATTATTAATAAAGCGCGAAACAGACTGAACAGCAGCTTATTTTCCCTTCTTCTTAGCTAAAACTACAGCCTTCCTCTCCTTAGCAGAGCATGAAACTGCTTCCTTATGATCAGCCTTCTGCTCAGCAAGGAGCATATCACGCTCTTCCGTAAGCGCCTCAATCTGCTTCTGCAGCTCATTAACCTCCAAGAACTTGCCTACTTCAAAATGCTCAAGAGCAGCTTTCTAAGCCCACACAGCATGCTTGGATCGGATTCTCAGAAAAGCAAGATTGAGAGTGAAGTTTTCCTTCTCTATTCCAGCGTATATTCTTTTCTTTGAAAGCGTAGGAGCATCCATCTTCTCAGCAGAAGCAAGCGCATGCTTAGCTATATAAAGCTCGTTTACAAAAAGCATAAGATAGAAAGAGATTGGAATATACTTGTAATCCTTCGAATACTGAGCATAGCAAGCAGCAGATGAGTTCTTCTGATTATAATAGGAATCATCAGAGCTGCTTGCAGCCAGATTCTTGATACAGCTAATACATGGAACATTGCAAATAGCATTCCAGGAAGCATCGTCTTAGCTCTTCGAGGAATCTGCAGCAGGAGTACTAGAAGGGGTGGCTACTGGAAAAGTCTTTTTAGCTTGCAACCAAGGAGTTCTCAACTTGGCAGCATCTTCAGCAGCCACATCGAGGCGCTTCTGCTGAAGCTTCTGCATCAATGCATCCTGGGATCTCAAACAAGCTATACTCTGCTCAGTAATAAGCTTTGTTGCAACTAGCTTAGAACTTGAAAGGCTACCGGAAGCCTGAAAAAGGGTTAGCTAGATAAATATTAGAAGAAAAAGCAGTGCAAACCTACAGTCTTAGGCGCCTTCTGAAGAAGCACAGAGCTGTCTTCATTATTATTATCATCATCATCAATAAACAAGCTAGAAATCCCTATAGAACTAGCATCAGAGCACTTGGAAAAACCAATACCAACTGAATCAGAAGCACCATCAACCGAAGAATGCAAAATCAGGATATTAGCACGAGCAGCAGACGACTCGACTGGAGCTTGAGAACTTGAAGCAGACAGACCAGACCGCCATCCCTGGAAACAAGAACAATCAGTTCAGCTCATACCAATCCCCAGGCAGCTCTTTCTATACTTACATCAGGAAGAGGATGCTGACCAGCGGTTGGAATTAAGACAGGCTGAACAGAGCTTGCGCTCTTCTCTGTAGCCATCGAGAGACCATCATGCAACTTAGATACACTAGCAGAGGAGCTAGGGTTTGCATCCAAGGGATCCTCATCAGTCTTCACATTGGAAGAAGGACCAGAAGAAGCCACATGGATCTCGCCCTCAGCAGAGTTGCTATTATCGGAAACAGCCATACTGAGCTCGCTGAGAGGAATAGAAACGTCAGACTCGCTTAACGAGAAATCTGGAGTGACTAGAAGAGGCATATTGATGCACGGAGGCTTTCAAAAACCTTGAAAACAGATGGAAAAAGAGCTGATTGAAAAAGAAAGAGGACTGGAAGGAGGCAAGGCAACTGTAAAACGCGCCCACATAAGCTTAAACGCATCTGCAGGAATCCCACAAAAGATCCACTTTTCTGGCATATCTGACCAGTCAGATGGGGGGTGTGTGAAAAATGGAGCATATTTAACCCTAACCCTCTGTTTTGGTCTCCTCATAAACCATCTCAGAGCCTGGTTTAGTTACTTAGAAGATCTTCCTTTTGTATTAGATAGATTCAATCTCAACACTCATTCAGCCACTTCCACGTGCTCAGCTCATACGTTTCTCCTTATCTTGAGCCAAAGCTACTAAAGCAGTTAAGCTTATTCAGGTAGAACTTGAGGCTTTGTAAGATGCGCTGCTTGTGTTGAAAGGAGAAAAATTAAATATTATGGCTGGGGAAAGCAGCTGTTATATGTCTGACCCACTATTAAGCAAAGGCAGACGTTCGGAGACTGACTCAAAGAGTGAAGGCTAGGCTGAATAGAAGGATTACTATTTCGAACATTTATTTCTTTGGGAAGAGTATAATAAAAACCAGAACTCGGGCGCTGTTGTTTGAGAAAAGCTCAGCGTGGATGTGTAGAAAGAACAGCACCTGAGTGAATGAAGATCTCAAGAGCATAGGAGGGGATGAAAATCCTTATAGAATGAAGGTTCACAGTCGAACAGGAGGGGAAAAGAATGGATATTCTCTATGTATATCCTAGCAAAAATGAAGGAAGTAGTGCCCTTATACTCCCATCTGCACCAAATGTCCCGACACCTACCACACTAGCCAGCACAGCACTATCTTAATCATCAGTAAGATCGATTGGGTTACCTTCAGTGCCATAATCCGTCCGCTGCTGTAGCTGTGAGCGTTCTGATTGTCGTCGCCGTAGTCTTTGCCGACGCCTTTGCAAAAGTTGGGACTGCTGATCATCATAGTCCGTTAAGCGTTGCTGTCGCTGTGGGCGCTCTAATTGTTGTCGCTGTAGTCTTTGCTGGCGTCTTTGCGAAGGTGAGGGCTGATACTCGGCATCATCCGGCTCGACATAGCTTGTTGTATATGAACAATCGCGTCGCTTGTTCATAATGCAGTTGGCACACCGGTCTTGGTACTGGTCGGCAAGCACAACACACTCCTGAAATGGTCCGTCGTCATTCTCACAGTGGTTGCACTTTTGTTGCTTTGACCCACGGCTATAACATAGCAATACTTGTCTCGCAGCTAGGTTCTGCTGCCAGAGTGCGTAAAGAACGCGTTCCAATGTGCCTTACGAATCCCATGGGTTCTCGTTGGTATGAAAAATCATAGACTCGCCGGTCTATGCTGGACACCACCCAAGCTGGGTAAGGGTCACCAGGTGCATAGGAGGCAGGAATAGCTATGAGGGGCTACTCGTTTTGACAAGGTTGGGATAGATAGGTCACAGCAGCATGGAATTCTCCAAACATGAAATCCATTCGTTTCTGTTGGTCCAATAAGTAATGTTGTTTGCATTATTACGGAAGATGACGTACAATATGTTCCTCCATAGTAAGAGCCAGTGACCCGCCTCTGAAGGGCTGGCAATCCGAACACTGCGACAAAGTTGGGATGGTGCCTGGTCGTGTACGTTTCAAGATTATTTGGGGGACGAGTGATCAAAATGAAAGGGCTGAGTTGAGCAAGGCGAGTGTTCCAGCTTGAATGGAAGGGAAGAAGCAGTGCTTTATATAGAAAGAGCACTGGAGCTATGGGATTTAACCGGCCAATGGGAGAGGATTCGGATTGCGACAGAAACCTTGGAAGTGTAAGAAGGAAAAAAGAAAGAAAGAGGGAAAGGTGAGAAACATGACAGAGGGGTGCTCTCGCTTCTTAAATACCTCAGGCTTTGATCAGCTGATTAACCCCATCTCGATGCGCTGTCCCAGTGCTTCATACTTTAAAGTTGTGACACATTCATTTTTCCGATCATCCCGAACACTGCCCTGAAAAGTATTGGACTGGGAGTATCATTTCTTTCTCTCTCTCTCAGGACTTCTTTTGGTCTTCTTATCAGCCAGGAGGATTGTATTGTTCGGCAGTCTGCTGAATCTCTAGAGCCTCGAACCATTGTATATACAGCACGCTGAGGACACAATGGATTCTAGCATTGCGCCTGAGGAGGTCGTATTGAAGATACCATCTCGTAGAGAGGAGCACAACCTGAAACAGCTAGCAATGCCAGACAGTCAACTGCGCCCATAGTTGTGGCACTCTATGTCCTTTTTCTAGCTGTCTTCTGATTTTGAGCCTGAAATGGAGTTTATCGACTTCTTTCCCTCCTTGCCTCTGCCCCTTCCAGCCTCTTGTACCACGAACTCGTCGGTGAGGTCGCTGATTAGGTCTATAAGGTGAGACACACCTCCGAACCTCTTACTCTGAATCTCTTATTCTTCGACAATTTGGATGCAGAGAGGACTGGTCTAGTCTTTGAAACAGAGCGTCCCAGCCCAGGGGTTGCCTCCACTGAAGAAGATAAAATGAGATCGAAGATGGCATTTATGTATTTTATGAACGTATGAAATATCTTATTATCAGATAAACAATCATTGATTATATTATCTTCATAGACAATGGTATCATCTGCTGTCGTCTGTATAGTGAACTTAGCATATATATAAAGAATACTATCACAGCTTCAAAAGCATTTCTTTCCCTTATAAAACAGCAGGATATAATATAAATTTGAATTGTGCTAGAGCCTTTGACTTCTTTCTATCTAGTCTCTGCCTCGCGCCTCATCGACCCTTTCTCCTCAGTTTGGAACACATGCCGCAACCAGATTTTCAACATTTTCATTGTCTTCTTTATTGAATTCCAGTCTAGCTTTTCTTTTATAAGTCTTCTTGTCACCTGGATACTGGTGCCTTGGTGCAGAGTTCAAGATTTGCCGAACTTGTTCTTGAAGCTGGGCGCTTTGAGGTGTTTCCGGGGAAGTTATTTGAGAACAATTGGTTTCAAGCTGAAAAGACTAGTTAGGCAACGAGATAAATCAAATACATGATAGCAAGGCTTAGATTGCTTACTTACAAGGAATCCAGCTGCAGCTAATACAAGTTGATTTTGTTTGCAAGTAATAGAGTTTGACCTGGGAGCTTGATAATTCCAAATCAAAAACAATTCGAAGAAGCTAATGAAACGGAGATGTGATAGGATTAAATAGCATATGCTAGCAGCGGAGAGGTGTTAGGAAGAAGAGCCGAGGAGCAGCTGCGGGGGCGTTCGAGCGTGTGTAAGATTCTAGATATATAAATATTGTACAGTAGAAGTAGGCAGGCACAATACTTATATTGGAGGACCTAAAGGAACAGGAGATCAAAACAAATAAAACCACAATCATATAGCTACTTAAACTTGCAGGACAACTCTAGGAGAACTATGTAAGCATTGGTAAGCTCCAAGCTAACGCAGCCGCTGCTAACCAGCTAATACTCGTATATATGATTATAGACACAAGAAAGCATAGGACTATACTCGAAGATTTCTTCGAGGCAGGCCTCTGATCTGATTTCTAGTACAACCATCCAGTCTTTCTCCCAGAGCACTATATCAAGGATCTCAGCCTTCAGTCGACCAGGAATGTCATCAATGCTGCCGCAGCTAGAAAGATGGACGGTTCTAAGCACATATCGAACGTTTTGCAACTCGTTGAAGTAAGATTCCAGACATAGACTAAAGCCCATGTATCTTGCTTAGTGCAAGTTACATACTATAAGTCGTAGCCTGAGTTCAAAACTTCTCTCCTTGCCCCATATCAAATCAGTTTCAACTGTCCATAGGGGAACGCTGTTGACTAAAGGCATTAAGTCAAAGGGGGGGGTTTTGGGCCGGGGTAGTTTTGGGCCACCCTGGCCACCCTCGTCAAATACACACACCCATATATATATATACTGTTTATCTATTCTATTCACCCACCACGATGCAATCCTCCTCATCAGTAGGTAATTCGACATCGCTCTCTTCATTCAGACTATCCTCGTGGCGATTGGCCGCGTTTTGAGCTCTCTGTATATCCTCAATCCCTGCAAACTTCGAATTCGGATCCATATCAACCTTTCTTCTTTTACTAGGCCTCAGAGCCTCAATCTGCCTTTTCAACGCTTTATTTTCCTCCAATGCCTTGGCAAACTCGAGGTCCCTCTCCCCATAAGCCTTTTTTATCTTCTTGAATAGCATACGGCGGCCTGGTTCCGTTCGAAGTTGTTGTCGATTCTCTAGCAGCTGATAGTACAGCTGTTTAGCCTTTCGAGGAGTTGAAAAGAGGACTGGCTGGCTTGAGGAGGCTTTTGGGGAAAGACGAGGTGCTGTTGATTGTGCTGAGCCTGAATTGGACTGGGTCTGACGGCTTGGTTGACTGTTCTCGAGGAGAAGAGGGCTCAAGAGGGCTTTTGAGGGTCTGAGAGGCCACAGACCAGTTGCTTTCCATCCAGATCTAATATTCTGGCTTGAAAGGCCTTCCAGTCGAGCCAGACGATAGTTGCTGAGGAATAATCGCTTGCCTGCAATAGTTGAATCGCCCCATTGGCCCATATTGCTGACTTTCTTTCTGTATGCCCGTTTGAGAGATGAAAAGACCCCTAGATCGAGGGGTTGAAGAACGTGAGAGGTATGAGGAGGCAAGTAAATAAGCAGGATATTGTTTTGGAAGCAAAGCCACATAAACTCGTCCATTTTATGGCTGCCATGGCCATCCAGGACTAACAGCCTGGCTTCTGAGGGGTCTGCTGGCTGGCTATGAGGAATGAAGATCTCTTTCAGCCATTCAACTGCCATTTTATCGTTTGTCCATCCGTTTTGCGTAGCTGTGAACTTCCAACCATCAAAAGGCTCCAAATCAAGAGGAAACCACTGTTGTTGTACCGTTTGGCCCTTGAAAATCACCAGAGGGAAGAGGTAGGCACCTGTAGCTGAGATACACTCGAGGAAAGAAGTCCAGGCTTTTGATCCAGGGTCTTTCCTTTGAATTGAACGCGAAGAGGAGCCTCCGAGGACTAATCCATTTGTTCCTTGGCCCTCCATCAGGCCAGCTTCATCCATATTCCATCTATTAGCTGGCTTAATAGCTTGGATATGAGGAAGATTGAAAAGACGAAACCAAAGCCGTATTACCTCTGTTGTAGCCCCATTCGTTCGTTCAGAGGCAATGCGGCGAGTCTTCCTGACCTTTATCTCTGGATTTCTCTTCAAAAAAGCCTGAGTCCATTGCACCCCGAGGGCCTGAGGGTCTCCCTGGACCTCGAGGATCTGCTGAGCAAAGTATTTGAGTTCTGAATGGCTTGGTGGAACGCCTAGGCTTTCTTGAATCAGGATCCATTCGGCCAGTCTTCTTTCCTGATCAATAGAGAGCCTTTGCTGGTTTTCGTGGGCTGTTTTATGCGATTCCCCTCCTTCTAGACGAGCCTGAAGAGTACTCCTTGGAATACCCCATTCCCTCGAGGCTTGCCGCTGAGACTTGCCTTTTCTGACAGCCTCAACGGCCTGGGCTAGCTCAAACTCGGAATAGGGCTTCATAACAGTCAGATAAAGGTTTGCTGGAAAGATGAAGTTGTTTGGATCAAAATTGGTTGAGTAATAGCTATCAAACTAAAGGGGGTTGAAGAGGCGGTGAGGGTGGCCAGGGTGGCCCAAAACTACCCCGGCCCAAAACCCCCCCCTTTGACTTAGTATACCAGATTAATACTTTCAGGAATTATCGAGAACTTACTCAACTCCTGCTCTGAGACCTGGGGAGTTACCGAATACCCAGTAGGGGCAGGGGAGGTTAGAACCCAAATACGGTGGTTTGAAATGGGATATCTGGTGGAGCATGTATGGTCTGGGCTCCTAGAGGGGAGTGCTGGAGATAGATGCCTAACAGGGAGTGCTTGAAGCAGGCGTTCAAAGGGGATTAATTGGAGTTCAACACCAAGTGGTTGCATCTCGTTGTCTTCAATGGTGGTCGGAGATGATGCAGTGGTACTCTGTGATGGAAGCCATTCGCTCCACACTGTAGTGCTAGAGTGAGGGCTAGAGGGAGAGCTAGAATTGCTTGGGGAATGACTTTTCTCCATATTGAATTTCGGGAAGAGCTTGAATAGCAAGGGATCATAACTAACATGAGGATAGCTGGAGCTGTAGCCTTTTATACTTGAATGAACCACTCTTGACTAACTATGTATTATTAGCACTCCAAACAAGCCATGATTCAACATAACTACCCCTTGAAACAGTCACTCTACCTCCTTGCTTTCATTGTTCCTATGCTGTTGAATCTTGGCCCTCTTGCACCTATCATGCTGCAGTATCATATAAACATCTCTAATGATTCATGCTCATCCTGCTTATATTTAATATACCTCGGAATTACAAGCATATCCTTGAAATAGTATTAGCAGATAGTATGAGCGCTTGTAACAGTTAGATGCTTGGATTACTAATCGATCAATCCATAAATCAATTTCAATGAAACTTGCATACTTATTATCGATTAACTGCTTGGCTAGGCTTAGAGCTTAGAAAAACAATTCTTAGCAGCTGCTATATCTAGTAGCTAATCTTGAAAGTATATGGTTCAGAAGCTCTGGGAATGCGCTCATACTGTTTTCTAGCCCCCCTCTCCCAACATCCCAACGAACCAAACACCGAGACCCTCCCACACTCACATAGTTGAGTCATGCAGACACCTTTGACTCTATAGCTGGCGCTGTCTTGATAATACTAGACAGAAAAACGGAGTGAAGTGATACTGCTGGCAGCATAATTTATGCAAGATACTGGAACACTGTATGAGGTCAGTCGGGTATGTGTTACGAACCATTGGTATCGACATGGTAAGAGCTATGGGATCTTAACGTATCCCTTTCCCTCCCTCATCCCCCGTTCTGGCTTGTCCATTCAAGCATGCCCCCCCAACCCCCTCCTGCTATCAAAAAAGCAAATTTCACGTTTTTCAAGCACGGCTAGCTGGCGCGGGTTTCCCCACATATAGAAGTCACCTCCGTGCATGGATCTGGTGTATTAATTTTTATTCCCTGCGGAAGGCCATATGAATGTATGTTGCTCAGGCGGTGGGTCGAGTAATGTGCTTTGGTCACCTCAGGTCACTGCCTGAAAGAAAGCGGCAGGTAGAATTCAGTTGTTATTGTGGTACTGGGCTGTTCTCTGTACAGATACATAGTCGATGACTTGCGCCTACAACAACTATAAGGATGTCTATGGAGTTCATGCCCTCTCCTTCGCACCCAGGCTTATATCAAAGGGGAGCTATCCCATTAGTAGTAATTGACCTTCCTCGCCTTTTCTTTTTGTCTCAATGATCTGCGAGGCGGTAGCTGGACATTGTCACTCACAGGTGTGGACAATGAAGAGCGGAAGCGGGAGCGGGAGCTCTTGGAGTGGGTTCTTGCTTTGGATGAAGTGGGAGGCGTGGGCTGGCAGGGTTGGATTGTCCCAGGTGGCCCCATAACAGGCACAGGCGTATCTTCGGCAATGGCATGGAGAGCCATATGGTGTTGCTTCCAGTGCTCTTTCACCTCGTCCCTGAGGGCATATGACTGCTCTCTAGCATGGTCCTGTTCATTCCTGAGCCCTCTTCTGCCGTTCTTGTGCCCCTGGTGCGTGTCTATAAGATTTGTTGACTTGATACGAAACTGATGGTATTCGAGTATGCCATCCTTCGAGGGAGCAGCGAAGTGTGCAAAAAGGTTGAGAGTGGTGCCATCTGTGGTGAATGTCGTGATCTCTGCATGACCAGGAGGGTCTGATTTCCCAATATAGGAAAGCGCCTGGTTCCTAGAGTAGACCAGAGCTGCTCCGTCGAAAGCGCTCTGAAGCCTTGCTTCATCCATATCCTTACCTCGTCCTTTCCACTCTCCAGCTAAATGCGGCAGTGTTATGGAACGAGGGTTATCTTTATAGAGAACAGCGCCACTGATATGCTCATCAACTGGCATCGGGCGATACTCTCGAGCTTCAAGCCCCTCGATAAAATCAGGCTGCGGAGCGGAAAGACAATTATTGAAGCCAACGTCTTTTGGGAAGTCTGTAAATGCCTGGTTAAAAGCTCTTGTGTAGCGTTTGTCCGGATACTCCTTCAAGAGTTTTCCGCCAACTTCATATATCATCGTAGTCTCGTTAACAGCTCTTTCAACCCTATTTATATAGTCCTCGTACGCTGACTCGGTTGGCGAAGCTGTTCTGCGAGATCGGTCGTAGCGTTCGTGGATGTTATGGAGGTTCGCGGGCGGCTTGGAGCTCGAGGGGTCAAGTATGCCGTTCTTCTCGGCTTGTAGGGCGAACCCAGACATTGTCGTTGACATAGTTCTCGATGATGACACAACTGTGGATTTACCAAGGGCAGACCCGGCCGAGTGCCGGGCCGAGGGGTTGAAGTCCTTCACCATCTTGTCGAATAATGCCAAATTTGTCCGCGTTAGTCGTGCTCGCTTCAGCTGAGGCTCGTTATCGCTTGGAAGAGTATCGTGTCGGCGTTTGGGCAGAGATCGTGGCAGTTGTTGGTTTGTCTGTTCAATCTTGTCTATTAGTTGATAGTTTGCGCGAGATAAGTACACCTTGCCTACCTGTTCGGCTTTCTCGTCCACGTTTGCAGACCGCTGTGTGCCTGCCCGAGTCAATCGAGGTCTTTTTGTTGGCACAGATTCGAGCTCAAGAGCCGCTTGGCGCTGCCGTTTCTTGTCCAGAGGAACGTCCCCGTTCGCGACAGTTTGGACTTTGGCGGTCGGTGAAGCTGCACCGAAGACATTAGCATTTCTTCACACTGTCCGCACGCAAGGGTATTGCTGGCGCACGTACCTGATTGCTTGGTAAAAACAGCGCCCGCCGACTTTCTTTCCGAGGCCTGGGTTTGTCTCCGATGGGGACGGCAGGTCCGCGCCGTTGAAACGACACGGTTCATGATGCAGGATGCGATGAAGTGTGAGGAAGATGAAGTCGGCCGATGGAAATAGCCTGCTTGGGGCTGATCGGGGAATTGCGAGATGACGGGCATGGGTATGACTCATCACGTGGTGCTGGGCTACGATCGACCAATAACCATCTCACGATAGTCAGACCAGCCTATCTCGGCTAGTGAGCCGAATTCTGCCGCAGGCTTCTCCTGTTAGAATGTATGCATTCTCACCGCTCCGTTGCATACCTGCTAGAGATTGGCCGAATACGAGCTTAATTCGTTTCATGTGCTCGTACTAGGTTCGCAGGCTGGTTCGTTGCAGACCGCTGCATATGGCTCTTGCCCTTGTAGCAACTCACCGCCAGATTGATTAGCACATCATACGAGTTGCATTCTCGGATCCATCGTGTATCCAGCGTCTATATAGATAGGTCAGCGCGTCTGCACCATTTTCCTCGTGTCGTTTGCCCTACTTACTGTTCCCACCGCCGGACGACATCGTGATCTACCACTCTGCCTTGACCACAGGGTCAGGAAGAAGGATGGCGATACTCTGGCGAAGAAGAACAGTAATAGGTGGGCGGTAGGTGGAGGAAGGTAGATAGAGACCACGGCAGCACTCAGGAGAAGGAGTCTTTAAAGCGGCTGCCACGAGTCGATCTTGAGGAGTACGGAGAGCGAGGGCTTGGCCTCAGCCGCTTATATAGACGCAGATGGTGCAATTTTCTCGTAATCAGCCGGACGCAGAGCCTCATTCACGGCCGAGCGCTACTGTGCTCCGGACGTAAGCTGTCTCTGCATCGCTGCAACCATATACACAATCAGAATGCCGGATGTGACGAGGAACGCGTCTGGTGACGTACGAACCAAGAAACACGACTCACGACTCGTTGCTATCAAAAGTCTTAGCCAACGCTAGTGCAAGAGGACAGGGATACAGGTCCGTGACTGACAGATCATCTTTACAGTACTATACGGAGGTGCCTATCAAAAATCTTTTCGAAGGGGGACTATACAACAGCCCAAGCATGGCGGTCCATCTCGCTCCTGTCCACCCTGGGCAAGCTGCTGGAGGCGGTGGTAGCAGAGAGGCTTTCCTACCTGGTGGAGACATACGGCCTACTACCCGGCAACCACTTTGGAGCGAGCAAGGCGAGGTGTTCCACATCAGGAACCTGGAACAGCAGGTCCGTAACTATGAAGAGATTGCCGACCAGATCAAGAAGTTGGAGGCCGAGAAAAACTCCCTGCAACAGTATATCATACTCCTGCAGAGTTGCCTTGCCGACGCGCAGGCCAAACCGCCCTCTAATATCAACCTAAGCATGACACCCGGTGCCTCTAGCCCACACGCCCATGGCTTGCCTCCACTAGTTCGCGACCTCGTCTGCTCTTCTCCCGGCGAGCTGACTCCTAATACGAGTTCAACAATAGGCAGTGACACCTTGAACATTGCTACACAGGCCCCGAAACTCGCCGACCACATGCTCCTGCATCGCCGAGTGTCAGACGATAAAACCGAAAGCGCCATGGCTTTGTCTGACAGGGCTTGCTTGCCTTCTCATCCTATATCCTCTACGCAGTCAACAGATACTCGTGCTTCGTCTTCTTCCGTACTCAGTATCCATGCAATCCTGAATCCAGCCGATCTCGAAGAAGAGCAGTGCATACATGAGCGCATGAACTTTGGACTCTCCAGCAGCAGCAGCTGTCACCCGTCTCCAGTCAATAACTCCACCACCACCACCAACACCACCACCAACGAGCTTGCTCAGGGCAAAAAGACAGCTACCTCGCAGTCCTCAAACCCTCGGCCTGCTGCACCCACGCCGCCATTGGAAAGACAACGACGTTATCTAGCTGAAAGAAAGGGTCCATAAGTATTAGACTATTATATACGCAAACAACAGGGCACCTCTAAACTTGGTCCGGCCATGGTCAACAAAACGCATCAGGTACAGGGGAATAACAGGTTCATCCATCTGGATCCCCGAACGCACCGAAGTAAGCCACGCTCAAACGCGTGGTACCTGCAGAAAGAGGAGCAGATCAAGGCCCGCGGGGGAAGAAAGGGGAATTTTGGCAAGGCAGCACACGAGCTTGAAGCAACGACGGCTAGAGGGCGCTGAGGACTTCGAAGACAGCTTGCCAGATCGCGTCCGTAATAATGAGGACTGGGTACGTGTATTAGGCTGGCACAACAGCCGTTTGGCTGTGCCTAGCACGCAGAGGACAGCGCTGCCGGAATCTACGCCCAAGAGTTTAGTAGACCGCCTCCAGACGAACAGCTCACAGCCCCTCCCAGCAGCCCACTCTTCTCAGAAACGCATCCATTTAACACCACGGTCCAAATTCAGCGAGATGAACATGGGAGACCTAGCAAGTCCGCGCCAGCATGCCATACATGGCGCAGCAGCGCAGGCAAAGCACTCTCTATCATCCACGAAAGTAAGCAAGCCCCTGCCGCAGCCTCAATTGAGGTTCTCGGATGAGGATATTGATGAAATCTTTGGACCAGGTAGCCATAACAGAGCCTGCGCCGACTACATATAGCATATGGAGGCCAGCAAGTGCACCTTCGCCATGCTCAGCCGTTATACCGCTATACAGGAGGCTAGCGCATATGGATATGACTCCTCCCTCCAGGATTCCAATCACCCGAGCCCGCCGTTAACGGCAGAACAGCGGGGCGCAGATTTCTAGAGCATGCCCCCCTCGGTTCTCTCCCTGTGTAATGAGCACTGCAGTAATCTATAGATTCCAAAGTACACAAAGGCTGTATGCTAACAAGAGCGGTGCCAAGCACAGGCCTTGAATAGGAAACAGTTCTCTGAATTCTGAATGCAAGTGTTCACTACCTTTAAGGCTACTGGATTGTGGGTGTAATCCAATACTTAGATTGACGACTCAAGAGCTATATACAAGATCTATCTAGGTGGGAATGAACGTGGTTTATATATCTAGCTCTTCAGTCTTGGATCATTCTGGATCACCTCAGATCGCCACCTGCACCCGTTTGTATGGCAGATTGTACAATCGCCGAGGAACAATGCCCAAGGTGTACAGGGGAGCCGTTCTCTCGCAGTGGCGCAGTCGCTGGGTTGCCGAAGCCGCCAGGGTAGCGAGACCTCAGATACTGCGTCAGTCCTATGCGGTCTTCCCTGCTGACCTGATGCTTGTCCCGGAGGTGAGAGGTGACCTGGGACCGCCCGTTTGCGGGGAGTAACCTTGCAGCCTTCCCGACGATAGATTAAGAGATTCTCCTAAGGTTCCATATAGAATAGGAGGCATGCCAAAGCCAGATCTTCTTGGATAGCTATCTGGAACGTCCTGGGTAGATCTGCTATTGGGATTTGTTTATAATAGACTTTTCATGAAATCTAGTAACGCTTAGCAGAGGTAGGGAAGACAGAACGGAGGGGAAGACAGAACGGAGGGGAAGACAGAACGGAGGGGAAGACAGAACGGAGGGGAAGACAGAACGGAGGGGAAGACAGAACGGAGGGGAAGACAGAACGGAGGGGAAGACAGAACGGAGGGGAAGACAGAACGGAGGGGAAGACAGAACGGAGGGGAAGACAGAACGGAGGGGAAGACAGAACGGAGGGGAAGACAGAACGGAGGGGAAGACAGAACGGAGGGGAAGACAGAACGGAGGGGAAGACAGAACGGAGGGGAAGACTGAAAGGAGGGGAAGACGGAAAAGGAGAGGAGACAGAGACGATTCTCTTGCTCTTCAGCATAACGCTGGACAGGAAAGGGGAAATCTTAGTAGAAGCCATTCTATTGCTTGCCACGCGTAGTTCTGCACAGACTAAAGGCAGGATATGTCATGACCTGCTATAGCTTTGGCGCGGCGGTCGTATATGTACGGGCCACCATATCTAGATTGTATTATAACAGGCGCCAAGACCGCACACCATTCTACTGTAGGGCCATAGGGCAGATTGAGTGGGTTCATACATATCTAACTATTTGCTAATAACTTCTGCAGCTTCGCGGAGCATCACCTTCATCTGAGTATATAGATCCGGCTCCGGTTTCTTCCACCTCTGTCTGTCTGGGAATACCATCCTTCTTAGTCTATTGACCCATGGGACCAGCAACTGATAGTAGTCCGTGAAGTTCTTATTGGCGGCCACAAGAAAGTCTTCTTCGTCGGCGATCACACCTATTTTAGAGCTCGCCAACTCTTCCGTTTCCATGTAGTTCCACTTGTCGAATCGCTCAACTACTCTGCCCTTGCTATCTGGCCCATCATAGTGAATGCATATCCAGAATAGCACCCAGAAGAACGACTCGAGGTCATGCATAAAGGAATGTTGCTCGCCGAAAAGCACCCCAATGGCCATAAAGGCTCTGGTTCCAGTCTTTCCCTTTGCTCCCGAGGCACCTTCTCGCTCTTCTTTGATAGCAAGGTCCAGATCAATCAAGAACGAGGGCCAGGACGGGTTGTTACTGTCTTCGTTGATCATCAGATTGTTGTGCGAGATGTCCCTGTGAAGAAATCCAGCCTTGTGCAAAGACTCGTGTCCTTCTATGCAGCCTGCGAGCGCACGGAGCAGAGCTGCTGGAGAGCTTGCCTTATAGATCGGCTTTCCGTAGTCGCGAACAATGATGCGCCGATGTATGCGATTTGGCAGTACTTTGCTGCTGGATCTTGTATGGGATGCCGGAGGACAGGACCGTTTGCTAGTTGGTGACAGGGCATCGGTCTGGCTCAGGGATCGCTTTCTGCTGGTTGTACTGTTACTACTGCAGCCCGTCTGTGGTAGGGCGGCGGTAGTCTGGCCAGATGGCTGCTTGCTAGCAGTGCTGCTGCAGTGTGACTGCGGTACAGGGGCGTTGATTTGGCTTGAGGATTGCGTCTTGTCGACAGCACTGCTGCTGCTGCGGCCTGTCTGCGGCGGGTTTGCACTTGAGGATTGCGTCTTGTCGACAGCACTGCTGCTGCGGCCTGTCTGCGGCGAGTTTGCACTTGAGGATTGCGTCTTGTCGACAGCACTGCCGCTGCGGCCTGTCTGCGGCGGGTTTGCACTTGATTGCGTCTTGTCGACAGCACTGCCGCTGCGGCCTGTCTGCGGCGGGTTTGCACTTGGCGGCGGCTCTGGCTTGTAGTTGGTCGCCGTAGTGATGTCCAGTCCCCCTCGGATATTGCTCTCGATATCATCCTCGGAACCCTGTACCTGCACGGTCTCGTGGTAGTAGTAGCGGGCTACATTAATCACACCTCGCTCGGTCGCCTCGCGAAGGAGTTCCCCCTCTTCCTCACGCTCCACAAATTGCCACGAGTCCTTGATCACAAGGGGTGTCTGCAGCGGATCGTCTTCACGGTGGGCTTTCCAGCAAGTCGTCGCCCGGCCGGCTATGCAAGGTGCGCGCTTCATATGCTTGTCGATGATCAGGCGCTCTGTCTGGCCGTGGCGTTCAATCTCCATGTATTGTGTGCTGCTGGATGTGATGATGGTAGGATCGAACCCAAGCTGTTCTTTACTCATCCAGAGAAACCCCAGGATCGTGTATACAAAACGATATCCATCCTTGTTGATATCGAATTGCTCAGACGCGATCCCTCCCAGGCGGTCAAACTCCCATATTCTCATGAGAGACCCACAGATTGTAAAGCCCAAAACAAAGCGACGATTGTATTGAGCAGCAAGCACCTCTCTGGCATATCTCCCTAGGTCAAGCCATGCTTCCCCAGTTTTGTCGGCAGACGGGTTGCTCTTCAGCTCGCCTGGGACAAGAATCTGGGACCAGTGACACCGAGAATATTTTCCAGCATCCGGGTTATCAACAAAGCCGATATCCATCTTGCGTTGCGCAGTAGAGCCATCAATCGGCTGGTTAGGCCTTGCTAGAGGCCTTCGTTGGTATATAATAGTCGACTTGTAGCTCGCTGCAAAGGTCGACAGCCTCTCACTGAACACCACAAACCAGTTCAGCACATTGTTCTGGTTCGCACTTTTTGGCCAGCCCGTCCAGCCAGCCCTGAAGAGTGGGCTGGCGCCTTCCTTGCACTCTTTGAAAAAAGCTTCGGACGCTGTCTCGAGATTGACCACGTCTCCAAAATATGTCTGATCGAAGTGGGGGAGCCCGACGTACATAACGCCGAGCTCCTCCTTCAGCACATCATCCACATATTTGCGGTATTCCGAGGAATTTGCGAAGCTGCTTGTGTTGCGGAACAATGGGGTTTGTTGGACGGAAGAGGCTATCGGTCGGGGAGGGGGGGTGGATTCGGTAACAGCGTGGTAGACTTGGTCCCAAATAAGCGCATCATCTGGGCTGTCGGCGAGGGCGGCGTTCAGAAGAGGCTTAATGCGGTTGAGGTCGAGGTCGTCGGAATTGACAACGGAAATAAGTCGCGAAAGATCGCTGAGAAGATTGTTGCCACTCCCACGCGAGGGGAGCAGACGGGATGCTGGAAGGCCCAGCAGTGCTGAGAGGAGACTGATAGAGAGATTCTGAATATCTACATGACTGTCAGAAGAGGGGTATTTTACCGGCAGTGGTCTGTCTTTACCTTTTCGGTCGAGCTGATCTAGTATACTCGCTGAACAAGCGAGACTCCTGTCTTTACAAATCGAATCGAAGAAGGCGCGAAAAGCATCAAGGCCCTTCCCAATAGGGTTGCCTTTGATAATCTCTGACCGCGGTTGATCTGCCATTGCAGACATGACGGCACGGTAGACCTGGTCCCAGATCTCGCTGTCCGATTTGCCGGCGAGGACAGTATTGAGGAGAGGCTCAATGTGGTCAAGGTCGAAGTTGGACCGAAGCGAGAGTTCGAGTCGCAGAAGATCGCTTCGAAGGGTGTCACGACCTGTTCTGGTAGGTAGCAGGTCGGCAGCGGAAAGGTTTTGGACCGCTCTCAGAAGGACGAGGACGAGTTTCCGGAGGTCTGCATTATATGATTAGATGAATGGGCGCGCAAGGAGACCGGAAGCTGGCTGGTGTTCCATACCGTCTTGGTCAAGCTTATTGACCGCGTCCGGCGAGCACGAGATGCTTTTGTCTTTGCAGATCGAACTGAACGATGCGCGAAAGGCATCAAGGTCTTTCCCAATCGGATGGCTCTTGATAATCTCTGACCGCGATTGATCCGCCATCGTAGATGTGCAGAGCAACAGGGTTTGTTGGAGGGGAGAGGCTATCGGTATGGGAGGGGGGATGATTCGGTAACAGCACGGTAGACTTGGTTCGGAATAAGCATATCGTCTGGGCTGTCGGCACTTAATGCGTCGAGGATGGGTGGAGATTGTCGGATTCCAGTAACACTTCGAATCATAGAAGATCGCTTCAGAGAGTGCTGCAACCCCTTGCTTTTGATGGTCTCTGACTGCGATTGATGCGCCACAGCAGATGTCACCTGAGATGGAAGCAACCCAGAGAAATCGCGTCGCGTGTCATCGGACGTTCCCCTGAAATGCCAACCCAGCCACGCAGCTGAGTCATCTGGATGGAAAATCTCTTTTCCGAACCGGTCATTTGTCAGCCATATTGACAAGGGGTCCATATCGGCAATGAACTTCCATCATCCACAAACACCATCTTTTTAGAGGGAGGACAGAAGATCAAGTCCTAGAGCTTGCAGAGTTATGAAGTTCTAAGCTTTACTAAGGAGTGATACTTACTTACAGTATATATTTGGCTTGTGATCCCAATAGCTATGGTAAAAATCTTGCCAACTTGGGCATTCTGCTGAACCATTAGGATCTATCGCAAAAGCGATCGCCAGTGCGTTGCACTAGCACTTCCCCTTACATTTCCACACAAGTACCTGGCAGTGACAGCGCCGCTTGCTGTCGAGGCCCCCGAAAATGGCGACACGCAGATGCTCCTCTCCAAGCACCTTCTTTGTCGTTCCTATCACCCGCACCTCCGGCTTCTCGGCCTCCTTCTATCGCTCTTTGTTCCTAAACATCGATGCCAGGTTGGCTATGCTCGTCAGTGTGGAGGGATGCTCCTTTAGCCTGAGTGTGGATATGTAGCTGAGATGACATTTCAGAATAATACGCTGGTCTGTGCTGACTTTCCCGAAAAAGAGCTGCATATTGTCTAACCCAAATAATACTATGTGCTGGGTCAGTCTTGCGGCGAAGCATTATTCATACCCCGCTTTGGTGGTGGCGATACTGCTGAGCCTCTGCGGAGATCGTGCTTCTACACCCCATCTTCGCGGTCTGGAGCATAACCGGCTGATGAACGTCCTTCATAGTATGATCGCGGTGAAGCAAACTTCTCTGACTAAAGAGCCTTCAGATACTGACAACGCGCCAAGTTGCTCTAAAGTCTGACAATGCGGCTGTTACAATACGACGACGCTGGCTACAGCCTCACCCCGGACCTTGCCGCCCGACGATGTCCCTCCTTATGCGATCCTGTCTCATACGTGGGGACCAGACGAGGTGGTCTTCGCAGACCTGGCATATCCAAAAGATGATTGGAAGCGCAAGACAGGCTTTGGCAAGATCAGGTCCTGTGCCGAGCAAGCGAAACAACATGGGCTATGGTATTTCTAGGTAGATACTTGCTGCATTGACAAGTCTGATGCTATCGAGCTCCAGACTGCAATAAACAGCATGTTCCGGTGGTATCGCAATACAAACAGATGCTTTGTCTACTTGACAGACGTCTCCGCTCCTACAGCGCCGGCGAGCAGCCTGCCGTGCTTTGGGAGGGGGCCTTCCGGAAGAGCAGATGGTTCATTCGTGGCTGGACACTCCAAGAGCTCATCGCTCCGGCAACAGTGGAGTTCTACTCCAGAGAAGGGCTGTTCCTAGGTGACAAGCGGTCTTTAGAGCCTCAAATACGTGATGTTACAGGCATCCCTGCAAGTGCTCTCCGCGGCATGCCTTTGTCCAATTTTCCCCACTACAGAACGGGAGAGATGGACTCGCAATCGTCAGACGAAATACGAGGAGGATCTGGTGTATTGGCTACTGGGCATATTTGATGTGCATATGCCGCTGATATATGGCGAAGGGCGAGAAAGGGCATTGAAAAGACTGTAAGAAGAGGTCCGGAAAGCTCAAAAGGGTAATAATTGCTAGAGCCTGTAAAAATCCGAATGAGCTCGAAGGCTAACTAGACTAGGGTTTCAACACAATGACTTCTCAGTGGCCTTTAGTCTCTTCGATGTTCCCGAAACACAATACTCCGTGGCAAGAGAGGAGGAACTTGCAGAGATGCACGAAAAGCTCATGTCAGACGGAAGCCGTCGCGTCGTCGTTCTCCACGGACTCGGTGGCATTGGCAAGACGCAAATCGCTGTTATGTACGCGAAAAGATATAGAGATGAGTATTCTGCCATATTCTGGTTGAATATCAAGGACGAAGTTTCTATCCAGCAGAGCTTCACCAAAGTTGCGAGGCAGATATTAAGACAACATCATAACGCCAGCCGCCTGAGCGCTATAGATCTGCAGCAGGATCATAAGGAAGTCACCGAAGCAGTGAAAGCCTGGCCCTGCCAGCCAGGGAATACTAGGTGGCTGTTGATCTTCGACAATTTTGACAACCCGAGGTCGGCTTGTGGCAACAATGACATGGGAATCGACATCCACCGATTCCTTCCTGAGGCATACCAAGGGCCGGTTATCAGCCACTACAACTTATCTTGTGAAAGGGGCATCGACAACATAATTATGCCACACAGTTCTCTTCGACCTACATGCTAACATCGAACACGTCAGCATACCAACATCTAACATCCAACATCCAACATTTCCGATATTGTATCCTAGAGAGTCCTTGCTGATTGGTATTATGGTGGTTAGATGGTAGTCCTCAGCATGAGAGATAATGGTGAGTCCTGAGTCTCTATTCAGCTATAGGGGTAGCATCCCCCTTTTGCTCAGTCAAACAGCAATGTAGAATATCTTGACTTCTTTTCTCGATCTGAAACCCCTTTAGATTCGTAGCTAGCATATTAGAAAAAGCAGTAAGTTTAGCTTTTTTTTTAAAAGGTTTGATAATTCACAAACCATTTAATAGAATTCTGCTGTAATTCATATAAAGATCTAGAAACAAATAACAAATAAACAAGATTTTATATATTATACATTCTTATAAATGCCACTGCTTGATTTTCATACTTTCAGGCATTCCAATATAGCTTAGTCTTAGGATATTTGCGCTTCGTCATAACTTCGCACTATATGATTTCAGCAATAGATATTAAATATTGAATGTTGGATGTTGAATGTTGAATGTTGAATATTAAAATACAGTCAGCCAGAACAAGACCTGAACTACTCTTACAAGAACAATAGTAAAATCGAAAGCTAATATTCTTCTAAAGATAGTTCTTCTGTAATGATGCACTGCAGTATCCGAAGATCCTAAAGTACACAAAGGGTTTATGCTAACAAGAGCGGTATCAGAGTGTCAACCCCTGAATACGGAAATATAACAAGTAATCTGTGCAAGTGCTTCAACTGCCTTTGGAGCTATTCAAGTGTGTAACAAATGAATACTTAGATTGATGACTGAAGAGCTATGTCTGGTGGTCTATCTAACAGTAATGAATGTATTCTTATATATTCAGCTCTTCAGTGTGCCTATATTGCTTATGTGCTGAGGCTACATAGTTGTGCTGCCTATGTTGCCTATGTTCTGATTTCACATAGTCGCTTGTAACCCTAACCCTGGGTTACATAATCCTGGTTGGTTCTTTTCGTTGTTGGCTTGATCCCTTGTTGGCGGGGCCTGTCCTGTGACCTGCATGTTGGATGGGTCATAACACGTCGCCACGTCCCTCCCCCCCCCCCCCCGGCCCCCTCCTGGGTATGTGGTGGGTCTCCAAGTCCAGAGCAGCATCCTCCTCCAGGGGTCTGATCACGCCAGATTATCGGCGGGTAAGATGGCCTGCCATGTCAGTCGAGCTGCATTACAGGCGTTCAGTTCCAGCCTTTCCACAAGGATCTGATCAAACAAATACAAAAGCACTTTTGAAGTTGGGCTTTTCCGCACCCCCCCCCCCCCCCCCGAGCCAGAATGCCAGGGCAATTGAGAAGGTAAGCTGCGGCTTTCTGTTCCCACCCAGCAGCTTGCGCTGGCACGACAAGGGATCACTAGAGCTAACCCGGAGACGCATGCGGACAAGGACGAGAGCAGCGGCAACTACCACGAGTGCATACACACCACGCCCGTCGAGGACAACCCGCCAGGATATCGCTGCCAGCCAGGCTCGAAAGAAGGACAAAAAAAAAGCCTCCGGGCTTTGGTGCACCGGCTACAGGTCGCCGCAAGACCAGAGCGGCTTCAGGCAGGGTGGTGGATGGGGAATTGGATCCCGAGAAGATCCTCCGCAGACATGGACGAGCAGCGACACAACGGACCAGAAGAGAACAGCCTGCCCAAGCCCTTCTTCCGCCGGCCACGGTCGAGGCTGGCCAGGCACCAGCGGTAACAATACCGGAGCCTCGCTCAGGCGTCAAGAGTGTCGGGAACGCCGCCGAGAACACTGCCGACTCTACGATCAGGCACACCATCGAGAACCCCTTCGAGGGCAGCTTTGGGCAGAGAACATCGTCGGAGGAGTCTGGCTTCGGATACCAAGATCCCCTGCAGGTCTTCTACAGGCGTGTTGGATATCTGCCGCCGCTGAGCGACGCGGCGCTCGACCTTCTGGGGTCTATCCTGCTAGATCCTGGGGTCTTTGCTAGGATGGCCCGCATGTCTGCCAATAAGAACCTCAAAGAGTTCCAGCGAGGACTCGGTTACCGCAACGTGGCTTTGACCCCCTCGGGAGAGCCCGGCCGAGAAGGCCTACAACGACAAGCTCTGGGCTCTGGACAAGAGCAAGTGCACACTCTCATCTCAGGAGCCAACATTTCAGCGGACGATGCTGATCTCCATGATCGACCGGTACCGGCTGATTTACGAAAAGGGAGAACATGGCCCCACGACAATGCTCGACTTCGCTGCCGAGGGTGTCTGGGGATGCCCGCCCATGCCCACAATGGCCTCGCGGAGGCTGGAGGATTTCCTTACACAGCCGAAACCTGACCTTGCTGTGGCCTTTCGGCGGCAGAGCCTGTTCCCTGCGGGTACGAACTGGAACATATTCCCCACCGCGACGCAGAGGTTGGTATGTTATGAGGACATCAGCCCGCCCAGCGACGACAGAGCTTTCCACTTCCTGACAGTCGAAGCAAAGAAGAGCGAGCTAGACATCTCCGATAGCGTTGCCCGCGCTCAAAGCCTCAATAATGCGAGCCAGGCTCTGCACAACATGTATGAGTTCTTCAGAGAAGCCGACGATGGGAAGGGGGAGAAGTTTGTGGACCTCTTCTTCGATAAAGTCCGCTTCTTCTCTGTGGTCGCGACATCCGAGGGCATCAAGATCCGGATTTACCGGGCCTGTCGCATTAGCTCCGGTGCAGACAAGAGCGCCGATGACTACGACCAACAGGGCTTGGATAATCCCATCCGAGATGACTACCCGCTGAAGTTTCTATATAGCGACTACTGGACAGCCCACAGCCCACTCAACCGGCAAGAGGTCATCACTGTCTTCGCACAGATCCTGTACGGTTACGGAGTTGGAGAGCTTGCCGGCTATCTGCGGGATGCCATCCTGGAGATGGACCAGAAGTTCCAGAAGTACGAGAGAAACATGGGCTTCTTCTTCCAGAGGAGCGAGGCCTATTACTCCCACGGGCAGCTCCCACCACTCTCGCGCGCAGCCAGCCAGAACCTTCGAGTCCAGTCCCAAGCGGCAACAAGCACCAACGCCAGCACCAGCAGTATATAGCTTCAGTTAGTTGGGCCTGCTTTGCCCGTTTCCTGTTTGCAGCTCTTCGAGCTGCGTCTTGTCAACAAACCCGACCCTGCCTGAGGACCTTTCCTGTTACCTGCCTGCTCGACGTTCCCTGCCCGACCTGAGACCGTGACAACCCCAAGCCATCGTATTGATTTTTCCGCCGGTTCCACGTTAAAGTCTCCTGCCTTGACGCTGGGCGAGTCATCGCCCTTTTTGCGTTCAAAGTGTATCAGCTCACTCTTTCCTGGGTCGAATGCGATGGCGTTTTCCCGTCCCCATTCTGGGGTGTCTTGGAGGTCCCTTGACAATGCCCTAGCTGTCTCCTTCGTGTCTTTGCCGATCCTGAGAAAGGCCACGTCATCCGCATACGCAAAGCGCAGGCGCGTGTTTCCCTTCAGGAGTAGGGGAGAGAGGTAGAGCATGTAGAGGATGGGGGAGACCGGTGACCCCTGCGGGAGGCCGCAGCTGAGTTCCTTGACTCCTGTTGTCACCCCATCGAACCTGACCTTCGCGTACCGACCGCTGACAAAGTCATTGGTCCATTTGACCAGGTTGTCCGGCCAACCCTGCTTCCTGAGTCTGAGGGTGGTGAGGCGGTTTTTGAGAACAGCGTCAAAGGCCCCTTGGACATCCATTGTGAGAAGCGAGGCCACTTCGCCCCGGTGGAGGGCTTTTTCCACATAAGTGAGTGAGGCAGGCCGCGAGGTCAACCGCCGACCGCTTCGGCAGTGCGCCGAAGTGTTGGTTGCTGAGTAGTCCTTGCCGTACTGCCGTGATAGAGAGGCGTTTCGCGACCATCCTTTCCATGCCTTTGCCTATGCAAGAGAGAAGGGCAATGGGCCGGTATGATCGAAAGGTGGAGTAGTCGCTCTTCCCCACCTTGGGGATCATGGCTACCTCCGCCGTCTTGAAGGCCCGGGGGTAATAGCCAAGTCGGAGACATCCCTCGTAGAGGTCCCTGACCAGTTCTCCTATGTATGGCCATGCCACGTTGAGGAGCCGAACCGTGATGCCATCCACGCCCGGGGTTGTGTTTCCCGAGCCTGTGCAGCATGTCTTTGCCTCCTCCATGGTGACCTGTGCCTTCCACGGGAGTTCCCAGGGGAGTTCGTCCAGAGGAACCCAGGGGTCCGGGATGTCGTCGTCCGCGGAGAACCTGTAGAGGACCGAGTCCCTCAGATGCTCTGCCTTCTCCATGGGTTCCGCTACCGCCCCTCCCTTGGTGCGTGAGGGGTGGCGGTTTGAAGGAATCTGGGGTCTTGTGCCATGCCGTGATGGCAAAGATCTTTGCATCCCCCGTGGCTTCCCGGATCTTCTCGTCTCAGAATGCGCGCTTCGCCCTCCTGACGATGTCCTTGAGGGCCTTTCTGGCCGCTTCCTGTTCCTCCCCGTTTCCCAGGGCCTGGGCTTCGTGGTGGGCCTTGGCTGCAGACCTGCAGTCGTCGCCCCACCAGGAGGCCTTGTTTCCCCGTACAACCGGGGTTCGTCCGACAGCTGCGATTGCATCTGAGAGCAAGGTGACAATGCCCTCAGCCACCCTCTCCAGTTCCTCTTGGGTGTCAGTATTTCGAGGCAAGTATCGTGAGTTGTTCCTCACAGTAATGCCGAAGTCTAGGATCCCATCCTCCCTCACCCTAGGGTTTGGGGCTCTGGGCTGGTGCCGGCTCTTTTCCCTCCACCGTTGTCCAGAGGGTGAAGTGGTCCGATCCCGTGTGGAGTCCGGGCATCACCTTGGTCCTAGCGTTGAGAATGTTGGTGAAGACCAGGTCCAGAGTGTTGCCTTGTTCGTGCGTGGGTGCTTCCGGGTTGATGTTTGTCAGTTCCGGTCTCCCTCCTTGTGCCTCATTTTGCCACAGTTTCCGCATCTGGGCTCCCTGGCGCACCTCCTCGGGTCGTGGTAGTCCCAGCACGTGGTGCATTGTGTGATTTGCACCTTTCTCTCGAGCCGTCTTGCCGGCTTGGACCCAAGGATCCTGAAGCCCGGTTTGACTGGTTCCTGGAATGAGATGACCCATTCTTTGACTGACGGGTCGGCCTCTTGATGTCTTGTGGGGTGACAGTTAACTGGTTCTTTGCCAGTCACTGCCCTCGCTTCCTGGGGTACGAGTTCGTCTACCCTCCTCTGTCCGTTGTGGGCACGCAGGAGAGTGGCCTGGGCTAACCGCAGTAGGACGGGGTGGATAGCCGCCCTGGTGCAGTTTGCCCATTCCTTCGAGAGTCCCCTCCCCGAAGTCATCGAGCGCGCCGTCCAGCGCGATCGCAACAGCTTTGAGGACTTGTCTTCTTGCCCTCTTCGTGGCTTCCTCCTGCAGAAGGGTTTTGTCGAGAGCTTCTGCAAGAGAGCCTTTGTTCGCCTTCCGTCCTTCCTTGAACTCGTAGCCGAGGGGGATAGCAGGTACGGTAGGGAAGCTGATGATTCGACGGTCGTTCGTTCCGCCGGCCGTGCTTGTTTCGATTTCTCCTGTCCTGGCGAGTGAGGAGGGAAGGAGGGGGACCATCCTTTTGGCTGGTTGTGGTGTCGCAGGTGATCCAGCTGGCCTCTTGTCGAGGGCTGGGGGGTTGTCGGGCATCTGACACTGCTGCCATGATGTCGCCGAAGGCCGCGCGGTCGTCTGTGGTGATCCAAGCCACTGCTTGACTTCCTGTTTGGGTAGGTGTGACAATCCCTTGGTGTTGTGGACCTAGGGGTCGGAAAGAGAAAAGGAAGAAGGATGGTGGTGGTGTTGAGGACAACCGCATCGTGAAAATTCTGTCGAAGATGGGGCCACTGTTAGGGGGAACAGTGTCGGCTCCTAACCTTTCTTAACATAGGTGGTCCGTGCACCCATGCCAAGAAAGTTGATGTCAGGTTGAAGTTCGCCGTTTCGTGACCTGTGTGTGTGTGTGTGTGTGTGTGTATTAACGTCTGTATATCGGGTCTAGGCTAAGTACACTTGGTGCTCTTATTTCCTATCCCTTCGCCTCCCGCAGGGCATATAGACGGTTGGCCTGGTTACCAACATGTTGCTGTACAAAAGAAATATAAAACAAAGAAACTTGTTTCTCAGTCTGGTTCGCCCTCGCTTCCGACAGGGAGAGCATCGTAGACGCCCGAGTCTCGCACATAATCGCAGAACGAAGGCTATCCTAGTTGTTCCAGCATGTCCTCCAGTTCCCGTCCGCATCTGGGCTATTTCGGATCTGTGGCAGTATCATCATCATCATCATATCATCAGCTTTTTCTGAGCATCTGCCATCTAGAACAAGCCGTTGTCTAGACCCTTCAGCAGGCAGGCAGGCAGGATCGCCATCACTGCATCGCCCATTTTCATCCTGCTTATTCCGTATAGCGCGGAGGCGGGTCTGTCTCATATGCTGACTCAGCCGTCCCACTGCACGTCGCCCGCTCGCTGTAGGAAGTTTCGGGGCCGCCCAGCGACCAGAGATCGGCTAGGGGCCCATGGCCCTGCAGAGGGGCCGAGCGGGAATGGCCGTAGCGGCTGCAGCGGCCGTACCAATCAGTGGGCCAGAAAGGCTATACGAGGCATCGGGAAACATCTTTTACATAAACCGAGGTAGCCCCCCAAACCCTCCCATAATAAACTCTCCGGTCGCAACCTTCCCTACCACCGAATTCACCAATGGATCCGCCGTCTCTCCACGAACTTGCCGAGGAGGCGACATTCGAGAGCTACGACGGTAGAACGTACGTGAAGCCCCCCCTTGCAAATGACTGCCAGGCCGTGAGAAATAACGGGGCGAATTGCTGACTTCGCCTCGTATTGCATGCACTAGGATCATCTCGATCCCAAATGTGGAGAAGCTTTCCGGCCTCGACCAGCTCAAGGTCTTCAAAATAGCAGAGTACGAAGAAGAGAAGAAAAAAAAACAAAAAAAAACCACAAAAAAGAAATCCAGAACAGTTCCGTCCTAGGACTAGGCTAATTAATAATCATGGTGCAATTGGCAGGGAACAGCTGCTCTCAGGCGGGCAGCGGATGTCGAGTGCGGTTGATTCCCAAGAGCTGCGGTCCAGACTCGAGTGAGCTTCGGCTGTCCCCCAAGCCTCTGGCTACTATTCTCTAACCACCTTATAACAGCTTGTTGACACCGGAGCCGTCGGGCGAAGAAGAGTCGAACAAGGGATGGATGGCTGAGGCATATCGGGAACTTGAACGCGACGGCTGTCCTCCCTGCCACCCGCTCTACGACACCTTTCCTCTGCAAGACCCGGCCGAGAAGTACCGGCCGATCATAGACTGGTGGCGCTTCTACGGCGGAGACCTGGAGGAGACTTTTTTCTGCGAACAGCGACGGGATTGGAAAAACTTCCGCTCCTGGCAGTCACAGAGGCGAGCCCTGAATGCTACCGATGAGCGATTTAATCGATATGTGGCCAAGATTCGCGAATGCCGACAAAAGTATAGCCTGGATAAACCATGTTCCTCTGCAGCGGGGTCGACAGACCCAGGAGGACACCTGGGTTGAATACCAGCACTACCACCTCCTTCGGCACGTTGGTTATTAAAAAGAGCTTACTAAAACAACGGCAGCCGAGAGAGTGGCCTATGCAGCAGCTGTGGAGTGCAAACAAAACCAGCTGCAACTGCACCAGAACCTGCTGGACTGGATCGAACAGCAACGACGTGCCATGGATCCACAAAGCCGTCTGCTACCTGGCGAAAAGAGGAAGAGGGACTCCGACAATAACGGCCACGACAACGAGATGCAGATGTGTTCCAAGAGGAGAGAATGCACTGCAGGCCCGGGGCAGCAACATGCTAAGGTGCTGCTATTGACTCGACGCATCACCCGAGCACAGCGCTGCCAGCTCTATGGAAAGGATGCCCAGCTGGTCCAGCTGGGGCGACATGGCGAGCTGCTTGTACAAGACGGGCGGGCAAGCTGAGGAGCCTGGTGTTGTCTGTAAGCCAAGACCAAGTCCTATAGAGCTCATAAGAAGATCAGACAAGGCCAGCAAGGTCTGGAAACCGGATACAGTTTCAGCGGTTTCAGGAGGCTTTCAAGGGCTTCCAGAGACCCAGATAAATAGTCGATAGCTTGCCCTCTCGATAGTTGTAATAGAATCAAGCTTCAACGCTCTTTTATTTCAACAAATGACGCCAATGCAAACAAGACAGTGGGTTTGACGTTTTTGTGTGTTGATATGTTTTTGGTAGTGTGGTTCCTTAGGAAGGCTGCCGCGGAGGAAGAAGGGCGAAGCGGGCTTAATGCCCATAGAGAAAGGAAGAGAGCGTGTCTGAGACTCACTGCGATCCTCCATTCCTTATAACCCTAACCCTGGGTTATGTAAGCTTGATTTGCGTTCTGGTGAGTGTTGAACTTCCCGCTCCGTAGGGTCCGTTCTAGGTGTTCTTATTGCGTCGCAACATCCCGTGATCTGCAAGTTGGATGGGTCATGACAATATTCTTACTAGTTGAGTAGTTTTATTATTTTGTCAGTTAGGTTGTTTCCAATATCCTTGTCAGATCACGGGTGGTTTTAAGCATCCTTGTCAGATCACGGGTGGTTTTAAGCATCCTTGTCAGATCACGGGTGGTTTCAAGCATCCTTGTCAGATCACGGGTGGTTTCAAGCATCCTTGTCAGATCACGGGTAATTTTGAGCATCCTTGTCAGATCACGGGTGGTTTCAAGCATCCTTGTCAGATCACGGGTAATTTTGAGCATCCTTGTCAGATCACGGGTGGTTTCAAGCATCCTTGTCAGATCACGGGTGGTTTCAAGCATCCTTGTCAGATTACGGGTGGTTTTAAGCATCCTTGTCAGATCACGGGTGGTTTTGAGCATCCTTGTCAGATTACGGGCGGTTACAAGCATCCTTGTAAGTCGGGTGGTTTGAACATCCTTGTCAGATGACAGGCGGCTTCGAGCATTCTTGTCAGTCGAGGAGTTTTATTATTCTTATTACCTGTGGGTCCTAGCCCTCCTGACCCACTACCTCCGTTCCTCCCGTAGTGGGTGCTGTTATTAGTGGACAGCCGTTATCAGTGGACACTTTGGAGGAATCACATTTGTATGGGGCTGCTATACAAATCAATATCTTGATGCAGTGATTTTTCAAAGAATTTCACACAACCGAGAAACCTCTTACAAACTTGAAAGTGAGCGAGGTTAGTGGACCTCTGTCGGTCTATAGATACTTTTTATCTAGCTAGCTCCTAAGGTACTAATATACCCATTTCTATAGGCAATATACATCCAAGGGACAGAGAGTGGGAAGCTCAATGTAAGGCTTTGGGGCTAGAAACCTTGAATAGCTCGAATGATCTCTTTACCGTTCCGAGAAAGGCCTTCTCGCCTGATTCAGTTGAGCAACTGAAGTACAGGTAGCGATAAGGTTATATTCTCATCATCGTACCAGGCTGAAGCGCTCTGCTCATCAGCTTCTTTATTCTGATGCGAAGCTATTGCCGTATACAGCTCCTGGGTTGCAGACAGCGAGGCTATATTGATGTTGTGCAAAGGGCGTTCTAGGCTAAGGCTCAAGCCAGATATCTCGACATCGCTGGAAACAGATATAAAGCCGTCCTCCTCCTCCTTCTCCTCCTTCTTCTTCTCGAGGGCCTGCTGTAAATCAGGGACTAATTGATATGGTGGTGTTGTAGGCTCCTCCTCTTGGGTTGCCAGTTGAGCCTCAGGGCAATAGATCATCAGCTATTCCCTGAAGAGGATTGGCTGCTCTTCATATCTATAACCAGCCTCTTTCCATGCAGTACGTTGCTCTTTTCGCATTGCTGTTTTCTTCTGTGCCTTGTCCTTCCTCGCCTTGGCCTCCTCATGCTTCCCGATGCGCTTGATCCTTCGTATTTCAGCTTGACGATCTTTCTTCTCGCTCAGGGCATTCTGTTGTTGTATATCGCTGACTGTAAGACTGGTCATCACCTTGCTGTCTGGCTTGATCTGTTTCCTAGTCAAAGAGTTCTTATACTTCATTATCCTCGTTGATGATTTCTTTCATCTTCTGCTAGTTTGCTTTTAAGAAGAACTATCAGTAGCCATCGTATTCAACGTATTCAAGCTTCTTCGTATGCCTAAGAACAGCAGGTCAGCATAGTGATCCAGGAGCCTTGCTGCTGTTCGTAAGCCCTGAGCATCAGTCTCTGCTGAGAGAGACGGAAGGAGCTGAGAATATTTTGCACGCTTTGTCTTCTTTTGCTTGTTAGTTAGGTCTGATAAAACAAACTAGCTATTGATTAGCTAGAAACTTGTTCTTGCAAAGCCACTAAGGATATGCATTGCTGTAAACGCATGATCAATCATAAGCTGGAAACAAATCAGATCAGCAGTAGAAAGCAAAGCAGAGCTAGAAATATACCTGTAAGGCATCCTGTACGAAATCGTTTCTTATAAAGCTGAGATCATCACATCTAACCTTCTTGATAAGGATTTGACAATACTTGGCTTTCAACCACTGGAAAACGTCCACATCCATTGGCTGAAGAAGATGCGTAGAATGAGGAGGTAGGAAGACCACGATGATGTCAAAACGAAAGCAATAGTCCAGGATTGAGATGCTGTGATGCTTTGAAAAGCTGTTGATAATCAGACAGCGATAAATCCGTTAATGCTGAGCACGCTGATCAGAAGCTATTGCTTTTGAATCGTCTTCCTAGCGCTAGTTGAACTTTTCAGTACTATCAACACCAAACCACTCTTTCAGAGTATATCCAAGCCTCTTCAGCTCTGCATGATAGATATAGGAGTATTGGTTAAAGTGCTGAACCCAGTCCAGCATAATCTCAGCGTTTGAAAAGCCTGTATCAGACTTGTTAAAGCGAATCTCATCATGAAGATATGTTTTTGCTCATCCTGAGCTTGGCCACTGCTTGAAGATACAGTACGCCGGGATAGCATTACCAACAGCACTGCCACATCCAATAAGGATCATCAACTCTCTATTATTGAAATTATACACTTCAGCCCTCGCTTTTCGCTCTGTAGCAACGACGATGCATTGAATGCAGCTAGATAGAACGCCGATACGGTTGCCACACTCATCAGCATTCCAGATGCTTGAGGGCACCAAGCTATATGACTGAATAGCAGCCTCGTATTTGTTGAAAAAGCTATTAATATCTTCTAAAGCAACCTCGAGGCTTTGACGAGCTGCTTCGATAGGCTTGATAAGCACTAACTGAAGCTCAGGATGCTTAGCTAGCTGTTATAGTATGAAATGTGAACCAACTAGCAGTTTTTGATGCATCGAACGCATAGTATTGGCAGCAGCAACAAGCATCTCCTTTACAGTAGGAAACGTTCCATTGCTAAGCTGTACTACATATCTAACGAGAGCTTCACCTTCCCAGGGCTTGAGGTATAGCAGGTGGCCATGAGGCTTTATTGAACGAGCTGAAAAGCCTTGATAGCGTATCTTGATGATATGCTTGCTTAAGCCACTTTTGCTGTATAGTGTTCTCTCTGCAAAGGCGCGCAAGGAGGTTCTCGAGGGCTTGAGGGGCTCTGGATCGTCTTGAGAAGGTTTTGCACTGCGAGGGCGGCTTCGACGCGTTTGCCACGCGCTGAGAGCAGTCTTGAAAGCCTTATAGGCAGCATCTCCTTGAGCCTTGATGGCTAGGAACTCTTGCGCAGCTTCCGCACATGATGGAAAGGGGTCAGGCTCAGCTGTATGGCCTGAAGAGGAAGCTATCGCGATGGAGGGTGTGTGTGTGTGTGTGTGTGTGAGGAAAAGAGGATGAGGGAAAAAAAAGTGTCCACTAATAACGGCTGTCCACTAATAACGGCACCCACTACGGGAGGAACGGAGGTAGTGGGTCAGGAGGGCTAGGACTCACGGCACGTTCCTGACAAAAAAGAGCGCACTCAGTAATACGTCATTGCACTAAACTTAGGCAAGGACTTGGCCACCCCCTTTCTTTTTTCCATCCCTTTCCTTTTTCTTTTTTTTCTTTATTTAGTTATTTTTCAATCAACTTCATTCAAGATGGGTGCTATGGCCCATTCGACGCCTAAAAAGAATAAACTTCAAGGAGCCTGTGAATTCAACGATGCACATGGTATCCCATACTTTAAATCTGACGCATTTCGGCATTTCGGCTTTAGCAAGTCATCCGGCTGTGCTGCCCTCCGTGAGCCTGAGCAAAGAAATGGACGAACATTTCATTCGACATACTCCGAGACTAGAGGAAGGCGTCGATTGATAGATAATCAATGCTTTGCTTAGCTTGAAAGATTCCTTGAATCTGAAGGCTTTAATGCTCGTACAACTTCCTGGGAAGCAATGCCAGTAGCAGCTGGCCTTGATATCGAGGTTTCTGGCCGTACAGTACATCGAATGCTTAGTACTCGAAGCTGGCGTTTCTGTATAGCTTGTTCGAAGACCTGGATCTCGCCACAGTTAAAAGAAACAAGAGAAAAATACTGCCGTGGCTTGCTTGAGAAATATGGCACTGATCTAATACACTGGAGGCATTTCCGCTTTACCGATAAGACTCACTTCGGATATGGCCCTCAAGGCAAGATCTATATCTGCCGGCGTCCCTGGGAAAGAACATGTGCAGATTGCCTTGTTGAAAATCAGCAGCCAGAGAAAGAAATGGATCAAAAACAGAAACGATTGCATGCCTGAGCAGCAGTTAGCTATGATAGCTTCAAGGATGGTTTTTACTGGTATAATATTCCATCGAATCAGAATGGCAAGATGAACTTACAAGTTTATTACGATGAGATTCTTCAACCAGTTGTTAGCGAATGGATCCAGCGAGGAGATCATTTTGTATTAGAAGAAGATAATGATTCAGAGCATAGCAGTACGCAAGGAAATAATATTGTATGCAAGTGGAAGAAGGAAAATAGCATTGTAAGCTTTTTCAATTGTTCTCAATTGCTAGATCTCATCGCAAGCTCTATTGAAAAGGCTTTTCAAGGGCTGAAAATGTATGTACGGAAACAGCCACATTGGGATGATAATACATTAAGACTTTCAGCCCAGGAAAGCTTTAATACTTTATCTATTTCTGCTGTAAATAGCTGGATTGATGCAATTCCTCAGATTTTGCAAGATTGCGTCGATAATGATAGTGGAATTACTGGGCATTGAGGATAAATGAAAAATGTCTGTTGTTGAGTGCGCTCTTTTTTGTCAGGAACGTGCCACGGGTAGATACTAGGTGGCTGTCAGTACTGTATTCTTATCTGATCACGGGTGGTTTCGATTGTCCTTGTCGATCGGGTAGATTCGATTATCCCTGTCCAAGACCAGGTGGTTTCGAGTATCCTTGTCAATCGGGTAGTTTCCAACATCCTTGTCGGATATCGGGTAGTTTGATTATCCCTGTCAGTGACTGGGTAGTTTCTATCATCCTTGTCAACCGGGCTGTACCGAGCATCCTTGTCGGATCAGATAGCGGAACCGCTAAATCGATAGTCTCCGTCTCGTAAAAAGATAGTCCCTCTAACCGTATTTGTACAAGATTTGCCGCTGGCTACGCGGCACCAAATTTCTTTGCTTACAATACCATCAAAAAGATTTCTCGACAAGTACTCGGCGTCCGCTCAGCGTCAATCCAAGTGAAAAAGCATACAACCTCAAAAAGGCTGAAATGCCAGAGGGCTGCCAGGGCCGCCAGGGCCGAGAAACGCTCAAATCCGAGGTCTTTTCCATTTGAACGTTTGAATCGATTGAATGGATTAGTCAGCCAGGTACGGCTTACGGTTGCCAGCTATTCAGCACGCTCGCTAGTAGTCTGGTCTTACTTTTGCGTACGTGAGGCTACCAAGAGAACCTGGGCCCTGCTGCCCCGTCTAACCCCTGCCGACTCGGGTTTCATCACCTGGTCGCTAGCCGTCGAGGAGTGCTGCAATGCTCTTCGTAATATTGTCATGAACTATGAGAACATTCCGGAGATTCGCGAGCTGACCGAGGAGGAGTTGGAGCTCGGTCAGCTCGCGAATCTCCGGAATGTTCTCATAGTTCATGACAATATTACGAAGAGCATTGCAGCACTCCTCGACGGCTAGCGACCAGGTGATGAAACCCGAGTCGGCAGGGGTTAGACGGGGCAGCAGGGCCCAGGTTCTCTTGGTGATCGACCACTACCGCCAGAGGTCAGCCATAGTGTCGCTGGAGCAACCTCAGAGACGCGTCAGAGACCCACCTTCTTGAAGCCAGGACTGGCCTTGATGAAGTCAAACCTCATCGAAGTACGACGGTCAGCAAACTCCATGTACGCCTGGTGGGCTGCCATGGAAGGCTTCTTGTTGCTAGTTATAGTCCACTCGGACAGGTGAGCCGAGCGAGCTGCTAGGAAGGCGCAGACGAGTCGGTGCTGCGCTTTGGCGATCAAGAGACGATCCTCGTCATCGAATAGGTTAGCACGGTTATCCTCGTCCTCATCCTCGTCCTCGTTCTCCACGGGCCGCTTCTGCTAAAAGGTGGCGCCATGGCGGAGGAGAACCTGGAGGTGCCACAGGTTTCCCTGCAACACGATTGGATGCTAGATCACGTGTCAGACGCGAGTTGCAGGCAATACACACACGAGACGCGACCTACCTGTTGGCACACCTTGTTACCGGCCGAGCACACGTCGCAGGAGGACGACGAGGCTGTGGAGTGCTGGCAAACCAGCGTAATAGGCTCCTCAGAGGAGGGCACGCAGTCGTACTCCGTGATTGTGGCGCACTTCATACAGACGAGGTGCTGCACAACCATAGGAGAGTCGCGCTTGGTAGCCTCCAGATGAGCGCCTTTTGTCTTACGGGTAGGAGGCATCGTATCGGCGGCGAGTTGCGTGGTGATACAACAACAATTGATGGAGAGAGAGATGGACAGAAGGCAGGGACCGTGAAGGGTGTGCCTGATGATCAGACCGATGGTATTTGACGAGTTGTTGACGAGCAGTGAGGGACACGCGACTGAAAAGCTGTTGTGGTTGGAGGAAGGAAGAAGAGGTCTCAAGGCGGATTGGCGATGGAGAGTTGCAACAAAGTAATGGGCGAGATCACAGCGACCCACTAGCGTGATGGCGCTAGTACGTTTCAAGGATGAGGCAGAACTCTATGACCGCCTACCCCAAGAGGACTAGGGCCGTGCACGGACCTGACCCCACACTCAAGTGAGCTCTTGGCTCAATTGGGGCTTGCACTAGTACTTTTCCAGCTGGGGACAGCTGGTTCTCAGAGGGGGGATAATTGTCAGGAGTGGCGCTCCCGCCAAGGCGCCTTCGGAGCGCTAGCAGATCACGTGCCACTCTCTCTTACATAGCCAGCGTGTCGCCTTCTCAATTCTGTTCCTGCACTCAGCAAGAATTAGTCTTGATACAATCAAAGACCTACCAGCCACCTCTTCAAGCCTGTCTCCTGCTTATGTTATTGTGATTTCGCCTAGCTTCCGTACCAGGTGTTCTGACAATTCTAATTCTTCAGAAGCATTCAAAGGCACTGGAAAGATGGTTGCTGTAATGTTGAGGGACCATTTCTATCAATACAGTGCCCAGCTATGAGAACCATCGCGAGGCTGTGAGCCTGGAGGAGTGCCAGGCGGAGGCTGCCATGCTGGCTGCCACTGATATTGCTGGCGTGCCACCGGGGCCACCGGGGCCCACGATGCTCGCGATGCCGGTGCCACCGGCGGTGCCATCGGAGGGTTCATCAAAGGTGCTAGCGATGCCCTCATCGTCTGAAGCCTTGGTGCTGCTTGTTCCAGCCGATCTATCTGTGCTGCCATCAATGCAATCTGTTGCTCCTGCCGTTCTAGGAAAGCTAACAGTGCTGGGTCTGTTGGCAATGCTTGTGTGGCCTTGCTGCCAGCCTTGCCACGTCTCTTCATCACCCGCCCCCTCTGTGTGTTATTGGCTTGCTACGATGCTTGTGACTGTGCCAGGAACTCTGCGCCTTCTTCATCGTGGGAAGGCTCGCGTCAAGAAAGGTGGGTGATGGTGTATTTGTGAGGTACAGCACGAGGGCCATGTTGAATTGGCTGGGCTAGGGTTATGTCGCCAGCTAGGAAGGGTCTTTGGGTGGGGTTCTCGTCGAGCAAGCCCTGCATCAGAAAGAGGCTATATCTGTTAGAACGACGTATTCCTCACGAAAAAGAGAGCCACTTATCATATCCTCAACTAGATGCCAGTATACATTCACTATCTCGAGAGTCAACACGCTATTTGTACTGTGGGACCCCTACCCGCCGGACACCTAAATAGAAAACGTTTCATATAAATGCTACGAATTCGCACCACCACAATTAATTCAATTAAAGCTATAAAATAACAAGCCATATATCTTTAGAACGCCCTGAATCTGCTCAATCTAAATATCTAGCTGGCATACGGCTAGCCCTATCAGAAGATGTACGAACTGGTACTGAATCCTCATCTGCAATTTCACCGGACTCCTCATCACTATCCTCTTCAATATCTTCGTCTTCAATCTCCACAACGCTCTCAGCAGGCAAATACTCCTCTTCAAGGGATGAGGCGGCCTCTTTTCCATCCGCAACCGCCTCGGAAATAGTCATAAATCGTTTGTTAGGATTGGGGATCTTCTTGCGCTTGCGGGTCTTGAAAATGGCCTCGTTCTCGGCCTTGAGAGCGGCATTCTCTTGCTTGAGCAGAATAATCTCGACCTGGAGGTCTTCAAGGCGATTAGCGATCCTCCTTAACTTGCTGCATTCGTTGTAGCTTCAGTCTCAGCCTATAGCAGTAATAAAGCTGTGGGAAATGGCCTTATCCTCCTCATCCTTCTCAAGCTCATCTGCCTCTCGTTTCTGCTTATCCTCTTGGATTTTCTCGTGAGAAAGGGCTTTCTGGCGGCTGATTGGATAGTTTCTACTGTGCTTCCATCCTCCTTTTACTACTCTAGGCGTAACTGATGCTCTAGCTGTAATAAGACACCTCATGAAGTTGATCTTATTAACTGGGGCTGAGTCCGTAAGATCTTGCAACTTTTGAAGTTCTTTTCGATAGGCGGCTTTCAGAGAGGCAAAAATGCTGTTATCTAGTGGCTGGAGGCCGTGGGATGTGTGTGCTGGGAGGAAGCATAGAAAAATGTTGTTTAAGTAGCAAGAAGCTATAAACTCCGGCTGCTTTCTTTCAGTACACCACTCTAGAGAAATATTACCAAATAAGCATTGAACTTACTGATGTATGGCTTTTATGGCCATCCAGGATGAGGAGGATTGCACGAAATATGTGCGAGGCCAGGTGGGTCACTGGCCCCACTATCGCCAGCCAACCTAGCTATAGCCCCAGTTAGCCAGCTTGTTTCTTTCCTTCCTTTCTTTTCCTCCCTTTTTTCCTTCCCTAAGCGCAGTCCAATACAGTTCATTTCCCATAAAATATCTCATGATTTCAAAGAACGTTCATTTGAGGAAGAAAAACATCCTCTAGCCAGGCTACCGCAATCTCATTGCTTGTCCACCCATTCTGGCTAGTAATAATATGCCAATTCGGCACAGATTGGCTAATATCTTTAGAAAACCATTGTTCTTGAAGATCTTTGCCTTTGAATATAATGCCTGAGTTCAGGAGATAGCCAGTAGCTGTACAGCTTTCGATGAGGGTTACCCAGCTTCTGTCTTGGCTGCTTTTCAAGAATGCCTTCTTTTTTTCAGAAGAGCCGAGAACTAAGGAATTCAGGCCTAGAGATATATCAGTTCTAAAGCTCTGATATGAAAAATCCATAGAAATTTACCATATCCAGTCATAATGCCTCCCTCGTCTACATTGATTGTTAGCTCTGTGTAATGAGCACTGCAGCAATCCGAAGATTCCTAAGTACACGAAGGGATTTATGCTAACAAGAGCGGTGCCAAAGTGTCAAGTCCTTGAATACGGAACCGTACAAGTCCTAATAAGCGATGCAAGTGTTCACTGCCTTTGGGGCTACTCAGTGTAGAAGATTGAATACTTAGATTGACAACTGAAGAGCTATGTACTGAATCTATCTAATAGTAATGAACGTATCCTTATATATCCAGCTCTTCATCGTGGATATGTTGGATAGCAACATATCCAAGTTATCCTGCTAGCTCTGGATAGCACATATCCGAAGCTATCCTTCCTGATTAGCTGTATTCATAACCCTAACCCTGGGTTATATAATCAATGCTTTGTCAGAACGTTGAGTCCTTGATACCTAGTCCCTGTTATGCGTAACCTGTTCTGTAATCTGCATGTTGAATAGGTCATAACATCATCTCCCTCCTATCAGTCGTTGTTCCCAACAATCTTTTGTAAGTATTCTGGCAAGTCTTCCGTATATATGATCTTGCCTTCCTAATTGAGATATCGAACAGAATCACCAAATCTCGTTCTCGTGCTGAGAAGACTAAACAAAAGGATTCTCTTCTTTCCTTGGTTCTTCAGAACGCTATTACCATGCCTTCTTGTTCCTTCTGCGAGGGTTGTGGTATTCAATCTTGTTAAGTCTCCGTCGAGGATTCCTCTCGCTGCGCTGAATGTGTTCGCCTGGGTCGTTCTCGGTGCGACGTTCAAGGGTTGAGCGCAGCGGAAATTCGTTGGATAGGCGTTCAATACTAACGCCTGAAGAACTAACTTGAGAGTGCTGAGGAGCGGCTGCGCGATGCTGCTGCGGAGGTAGGATGTTTGCGGAAGCAGAAGCATCTGTGGTTTGAGAGGATGATGAAAGCTATTCGTTGGGATCTTTCCAGTGTGAAGGAGTTAGAACGTGAGAAGGCTGAGGAGGAGCAGGCTTGCGTTGCTGCCGGGGTTCGTTCTGTGATTGCAGAGGAATCTGCTGTAGTTGCTGGAGATTCTTCTTTTGAGGGTTTTGACTGGAATTCCGTGGATGTGAGGAATGCAGTGGTGGATTGGTCGGGTTTTCTGGAGGAGACAGTGAGCTCTGAGCCTCTCTCCGGGCTGGAGCAGTTATCTTAAATGCTAGCTTTTCTTTTCCAATATTCAGCTACTCTTTCTTGAGCATTCTTAACATTTTTCTGTAGTTTCTATGAATTTTCGCTCGCTGAGTAGTCTTTCCATTTGATGAGATATTTCCTTATATTGTCTATGCTTCTGTGCTTGAGAATCTTCTCTACTTTATACTCTGGTTCATTATTTTCCACTTCTGCTGTATTGTTTGTTGGTATTTCCTGTGCTGCTAGTTCCAGCAGTGAGATGTGGAAAACTGGGTGTATTCTCATCTTATGAGGTAATGCTAATTTGTAGTTGATTGGGGAAATCTGTTGCAAGATTTTGAATAGTTCTAACTTCTTATGGTTGAGTTTGTTACTGAGTCTGGTTGTTTTGATATGTTTTCGAAGTAGATAGGCTTTATTTTCTTTCTGTAGAATTGGTTTCTCAATCCTCTTGGAGTTTGCATATCGTACTATTCGTTTCTGAATGAATTGTAGTTCTGATCGGAGTTCTTCCTAAACTTTCTTAATCTTCTTAACTCTTTTATCTGCAGCTTCTGCATCTGCTTCTAGCAGTGCTTTGTAGTAAGCTGTTGGGTTATATTTATAGAGTATGAAGAATAGTGATTTCTTTATTGTGCTTATATCTGCGCTATTATAAGCGAACTGTGCAAGAGGTAATAGATTGATTTAATTGTTCTGTTCCTGATTAATATAGTATTGAAGATACTATTTAATAATCTGATTCATTTTTTCTATCTATTCATTTGTTTGCAGATGAAATGCTATAAATATTCTATGATATATTCTGAGCTGTTTTATAAGCAAAGTTTAAAACTTTAAGTTAAACTTTTTATCTCTATCAGAGATTACTTCTTCTAGTATGCTGTAATTAGCAATAATTGTTCTGAGGAATATGTATGCAAGTTCCTCTACTGTACTGCTTTCCTTATAGGAAAGAAAGTAAGCATACTTGCTCAGTCTGCAAACTACTACTAGAATGCTATTATATTGCATCTTAGTTAAGAGTTCTTGTAAGAAAGGTAGCTTGATAATAAAGTCTAGACTGATGGATTGCTAAATAGTTATAAATACTAATAAGGAATGCAGTAGTCCGTAAGGCTTATATCTTTCTACCTTATTCTTCTTGCAGCTATTGCATTATCATAGAATATTCTCAATTCTTTTCCTAAGATCTGATAGATTCCAGTATCTCTTAATGCATTCATGAGTTGCTCTAACTCCCTGGTGCTTGTATGCTAGTGCACTGTATATATTCTTAATGTAGTTATCTTGTTCGTCTGAGATCATTGATTCTGAATCCTTCTCCAAGAATCCAATTCTGAAAGCAACATTCAGTTCTCTATATATATTAACAAGATTTCCTGATTCATCTTGAGCAAAGATATTCTATATATTCAAGAAATCTGCATCTTGATGATCTGATCTTCTGCTGAGAGTATCTGCTCGTTCGTTTTCCGAGCTTTTGCAATGCACAATCTTGAAGTCGAACTATAAGAAGAATTCTGCTCATCTAACTTATTATTTGTTCAAAACCTTGATTGTTATAAACATAGTTAGATTCTTGTAATCCAAGTGAACTATGATCGGATATTGTACGCTAATGAGATAGTGTTGCTACTTCTCGAAAGCTTTCACTATTATTATAAGTTCCTGATCAGAGATTCTATAGTTGATTTCTGAGCTATTCAACTTCTTTGAGAAGTTGCTTACAATCCTTAGATGTTCTTGATCGTTTCGCTAGCTAAGTTATTCTCCTAGTGCATATTCCGATGCATTGGTCTCAATTTCAAAGGGTTTGTAGGAATCTGCTTCATACAGAACTGGTTCTGAGATAATATGCCTGATGATCTCATCAAAAGCTTCTCATGTCTTGGGGATTCATTCGAAAGATTGTTCTTTTTTGATAAGATTTGTAAGAGAATGTATGATTCAGCTATAATTCTTAATGAACTGTCTGTAGAAGTTGATGTATCTGAGAAAGGATCTAATATTCCTAATGTTCCTGAGGATTAGCTAATTCCTAATAGCTTCTATCTTATCTTTCTGTAGCTTGATGCATCCTGGCTTGATTGTGAATCCAAGATAGTTGACTTTTTGTATATGAAAATGATTCTTTGCGGATTCTATAAGAAGTTTTGCGTTCTGAAGCATTTGCAATACTATTTCCATGTATTTCTTGTATTCTTCTAGTATTTGAGAGTAAATAAGAATGTTATTGAGATAGGCAATGATGAACTGATTCAGATGCTTGCATAGAATATAATTAATTATTTCCTGAAATAAAGCTGAAGCATTCATTAGATTAAAAAGCATAACCAAATATTTGTAGTATCCGTAGCATATTCTGAAAGCAGTTTTCTATTCTTCTCCTTTCTTTATTCTGATCAGATTATAAGCTCCTTTCAGATTCAGAACTGTGAATCATTGTGCTTCTTGCAACCTATCTTATAGTTCCTTAATGAGTAGCAATGAGTATTAGTTCTTAATTGTAATATTATTGAGTTGCTTATAATCAATATATAGCCTAAGCTTGCTGTTTTTCTTAAATATAAACAGGATGGGGTATTCTGCTGGTGATTGCAATGATTGTATGTATTCTTTCTTAAGGTTCTTGTTGAGATATTCTCTTAGTATTTCCAGCTGTGCCTTGTCTAGTTTGTAGATAGAGAAGAATTTGGGCTGTTTCCCTTCTTGTAGCGAGATCTTGTGGTTGTATGAGCTGTATTCTAGCAATCCTGTATCCAATTCTTCCTGGAACAGTTTCTTAAACTTGTGATATTCTTATAGTATGTTTGCAAGTATTAGTTCTGATCTCTGTGCTGTTTCTGCTATCTGGAGGAACAGTAGGTATTGCTGAGCGTGCTTCTTTTCGTTCATTGTTTTTAGTAATGTTTTTGAGAGCTTTGAGCGTTCGCTCCAGGCTGGACCGAGCGCTCGAGAGCCTGGTTTTGAGGTTTTTCCCGTGTGGGTTCACAATCCACATTCTGAAGCTTTTCCTTGTTGCTCCGGAGCTGACCAACTTGCTGAGAGTCTTGCTTCCGTTGTTTTGCTAACCTGTTGGCGCCCTGGCACTGTTTGGATTCGCTGATCACTAGGTCCTTCTCCTTGAACTGCCAGCCCTGCTGACTTGGAGGTATGTGAGAAGTTGTATGAAGCTTCTTTTTCTGAATGTTCTTCAATCACTAGCTTCGATCCTGCGCTGTTGATTGTGACTATCTCCCTGAGTACAGCTTGTTCCCATGAGATCTGGCCAGTAGTTCAATTGATTCGAGAATTGTG